ATATGTATATATATACAAAAACACTAACACTCATACCTTATTTTATTGAAACAGACAAGACATGAGTTAACAATTAGGATAAGTGAAATTGTAGTAGCTAGTCCGTTATTACACAACAAACATTCTGTTAAAAAAGTTGTTCTTCTAAGGTATATATCATTATGTATTGTTAATACCTACATTCTGTAAAACGAGTAGGTTATTGATTTCTGTCTAATTTCTCTCCGTCAATATTTTATTTTTTAATAGTAATCCACCAATGATTGATTCTATATATATAATGATTGTCTGTGACTTTTCTCATTTAGGCCTACCTTATAAATAAGCATTTTTTAAATTAAATTAATACCTTCTTTATCAACAACGAATCTGAAAAGTATGAACGTAAATTTAATATCCATTTTTGAGGAACCTAAACCATTTGAAATATATTTCATCAATATCAACGAACATCAACAATGTAATTTTAATTTTCTCTATACCCAAAGAGCCTACATAATATTTTCCGTGTAAAATGATTTCTTTCTGAGCTTGAAATTGACAAAATGTTTTATGAAATATTAATATTTTTAATTTAACATTCACTATTATTAGATATTACAGACTTTAATAACATTATATATTCTCATTAAGAAGCATACGAAGTTATTAAAACGTTTTACTAGACTTCATGATTATCGTCATCATCTAAGTTGAGTAAGGCACAAACTGCCGCCAGAAGCGCCTGCACAAATTTAAAAAGTATATATCGTATTTCAATCCTTTTAGGCCATTATCATTAAAAGCAATTTTTGTGTTCCTATATATCTCGATTTAATATCATAAAATGATTTAAACTAAAACCAGATGTCCCAAGTTGGAAGAAATCCCTTTCGGGAGATCTGGTTAAATGAGCTTTCTTAAAATAATTTAATTATATTTTGCTGCGCATGGTTATATACCGATCGGCAATGAATTCAGTAAGACATTTAAAGTAATAAAACATGCAAATATTATGAATTTTTGGGAGTGACCATACACTTAAATTCAGTTTAAATAAAGTCATTCATTCATTCATTTAATAATTCTGGTATATTAATTCAAACAACAACTGTTTGTATTCACGTGTCCCAAGTCTACCGGTAATCGCGAGTCTCCTAGAAATCGGTACACTCCCGCACTCCCGAAAGCAAGCAAGAATTTCCTGGAAAATAACCCATCTTCCACAAATTCATTGAATTTTCATGTTTTTACTACAACTTGACATTTCTAGGGTATGTTCAAAGATTTTTCTTACTTAGAATATTTCCTTAAGGTTCACCATGGTTGGGGGCTGAGGTAAGAAAATTTATAATTATAGAACTTAAAATTGAATACAGTATGCCATCTTTTTGGTGTTCAGGAAAGGTTAGCTCATTTTCATTTAATAGTTAAATATGAATTTATTATTATTGTCTTTAAATACTTGCTATTATGATTTTTAATTGCCTCCAATTTGTTCAATCCAAGACAATCAGATATTTCAATTCTTTGTTTGTGATGCAGCTTTCTAATACAGTATTAATTTAAAAAGCTGCTCTAAATATTATAATAATCTTTAATAATGAGGCTTGGCAATTATGTATACTTAGTAATCTAGCATTTTTGTCTATTATCTCCCTATTTTATTGTCTCCTAGATGAAATGTTTGCACGTGAAGAAACTGGTTTCCAATTATGCAATATTTTTTCCTCCAATCATTTCAACAAACAAGGACTGTGGGCACTGTGTTCAGCCATGAAAATTTCTATTTGGTAAGCACTACAATGCTTATTAGATATGAAATAAGTCAGATATTCCTAGATGTACATCAACAATTTGTAATAAGCAACAATCTCCAAAAGAAGCTCCTCTCTCAAATCAACACCACTCTGAAGTCTCAAAAATAATTATTAGGTCATCTGCAGTATGAAACAATAGAAACTGATCATTTTCATTATCAATAATTTTATTTTGCAACATGATTGAAATCACATAGGCTTCGGATTAGCTTTTATTCATTATATTTTCTGGCTTGAAATAACTTGTTTAGAAACAACTAATACCAACATATTTTTTTTTACCATCGACAGATATTTAAACTGAATAGAACTGCTAAATTTTTTAAGAAGTTATTAAATAAACTATTCATCTTCAAGAGAGTACTGTACTAAAATTATCTGAATTAATCAAGATTAATCAAGGACACTTCATAACTTAAAGATGCAGTGTCTGCCAAAAACATAAATAATCTAAACTAGAGGGCTAAATAGCAAAAACCTCACAGGCATTCACCGTAAGAAGTTGTAGGCATGTAAATAATTATACGTACATATTTTTGCATTTCATTATATCAACATTCTTGAGTTAAAATCTTCCCGTATGTGTGGATATGGTGTATTATGGAGGAAAGAAACAGACCTTCATGTTTCAAGCATCAACTTTGTGAATGAAAGCTCAGAAATTACAATAACTTTTGATTGGTAATAATCTGGTCAAGCAGTTAAAACTGACTGGCCCGACTGCTTCCTATGGCCTTGAAATGGAAGTCTCATACTTCATAAAATGTTTCCCATTTATCTAAAATTGAACTTTTAAAAATTACTCATCAAAATATTTACTACCCGCTTCTTGAAAATACTGTAGAAGCAAGCATCAACCCATTATATTTTGTTTTTTAATGTGAGTTTCTATGTTACGTACATTTCTGTGTACTTAATATTAAAAATAATGGAACATGTATCTATACAAGTCATCATAATATAATCTCTCAGTTCAGAAAATTCTCATCAGCCTTAACTCCATGATTTGAGAGCAATAGACATGCATTCTCAGTTTAAATATACACTCAAGAAACAGTCTCATTGCAGTTTCCGTTACAGTTGGGGAAGTTTGTAAAATGAAATGTCTTGGTCATTTTTAGTCGGATTCATTGATTCCCAAGAAATCTGACAGTACATTATTTCTATCTAGCAGTCCAAATTTTGAAACTTGTGGTCTGTTTTTGAACTGCGGACTGAGCATCACCAGTGCGCTAAGGCATATGTGTATGTCTCAATTCAGACGCATCCAGGGGTAGATTCTGCAAGTGTACACAAAAAGTGTTAAGCTTTAGAGTTTTAAAATTTTCTTTAGCTGCTTTTTCTTCTTCCCTTTTTGGCATGGGGAGATTTAAGAAGCAGTGGCGGCTGTAGGATATATTTTCTCGGAGCTAAGCTGTATGACGGGCGCTGGGGGGGGGGTGTCTAAGTGAGATAAGAAAAACTTTGGTGCGCATCACCATGCGAGGACCTTCTGACAGAGCCAGGGGTAATGAGATTTTTTCCAAAATACAATTGTTACTATACTCTCTAACTCAACTCAATGAACACGCCTTTCATTTCATAAGGCCTATTTAAAAAAATTTTGGTTCAACTGCCCCACGTAACTCTGCCGGTAAGGGGGACCCCTTGACCCATCCTGTTTGGGGGGGGGCCCTTTAAGCCTGCTAACTTCTGATTATATTTGTCTTTTTGGCGTTGATTTGGAGAGATTTAATTTCATTTTATTTCTCTTCCCATGTACAGAGCAAAAGGATAAGCACAAGAAAGAGGGTTGGAAGGCCCACAGAGAGGATGCCATAAATTGCAATCATATCAACAATTTAGTCCAACTGCCAATTATCCCATGATGCACTTGTCTTTGAAGAGATGCACTGTCACCTTCTGATGAGCTAAGAATGTCAGAGCTTCTGGTAATTGACCTAAAATAAAATGAACAGAAAATTTTGATAAAAAAAACAAATCTATAGGCAAGTCATATTTTAAACCCTCATGCCTAGTTCAGATTAGGTGGATAAACCCGGCTCAACTCACCGGGTTTATTTTTCCACCTGCCAGTCTTACTAGGTGGCTTATCTCAAGCCGGGCTGTGTTCCTATAGTAACTAGGCCTGGCGCGCCACCGTGTTTAACTTTTCTAAGCCGGGCTAGCCGGGCTTTAATCGTTGCGGGGGGGGGGGGTCTTGCATTGACTTCGGGAAATGAAATGACCAATCAGCATTCAATTACGTACACTGTGAGCAAGCGTACGTTTCACAAGCAATGTTTTGAAACACGTTTCCTGGTTACGGTTCATTATTATGCAAATTCTTGCCTGGCTAAACCTGTTAGTCTGAACGTCTGGCAAAGCTAAGCCGGGCTTAACGTTGAGCCGGGCTAAACTCAAGCCTGGCTTATCTCCAAGTCTGAACATAGCCGCACTATTATTTCACCTCTCTTATTCCTTATTCTGGACACTTTGAATATTCTTGTCTCAAAGAAAAATAGATTATCATTTTAGATATAAAAGTGCTACCACTGTACCAGCTCATTATTATATTTGTATCAGAGTCCATGTCACACATAATTTGTGAACATTAAAATAATAAAAAATAAATAATAAATTATTGACAATATTGACAGACTCACCATTTCTTTAGTTTGACCTCTTCTTCAGAGTTTCTCACTTTCCTGGTCACATCCATTGTCAACTCATTCATTGTCTCTTAAAGTATTTCCAGTTTTCACAGTGTTCCTCGTCTACTTACTTAGGTGCAGGATGGATCTCACAGGCAGAAGTAAGCCTGCTTGGGCTGTCTGATGCTGTGAACAGAATTAATGAACACTTTGCTGCAATTTGTAATGGCCACCCCCTTTTGAATTGTTTTAGTCTTGAAAGTAGTGCAATATTCATTTAACTTCACCCAGCAGGTGATGTTTTCATCCGATCCTTTTCAATCAGGGCCAATATATTTTGCAGTACTGTGAAAATGTTAAGGGGAAGCCGCAGAAGGGCTAACTCGTCAGGTTGATTATTTAATTAATGAAAGCCACAATGTGTCAAAAGAATCAATGGGTGTGATCAGCTACATTCATGACTTCTTTATACATCCATCTACACTTCAATATCGCATGTCACACAAAGTTTTCACCAGATTCTAGGTTTGGATTGATTAAGCAGTCATTTTATCGCAACTTTGTTTCGTTGCTAGATGATCTTGTAAAGATGGTTGAAGGGAGCTCACAACAGGATGTCAAAAATTGCGAAGTTAGTGAGAAAAGAAGTAGGAGAGAGGTATGTAGTAGACGCATGATTAGGTAAATTTTAGCCTACTTCAACACACTGCCATAAATCACCAAGTACCCCCACATGCGTGCTAGCTTGGAAGCATCAGGTGTTTTATTTAAAGAAGTTTGCAGATGCACTGGAAAGAGAGCTCCATCTCCTAAAGGATGTGTTGCAATTGCCACCTCGCAAACTTCCAGAGCCAGTCCCTTCAATCTGCCTGTCTGATCAACGACAGTGGTATTTATATAAAACTGTGCGAGACATTTGTAAAGATTCAGTGAGAGATATTGTTTGCCCTCTACTGAATTGTGAAAAACCATCCAAGTCGGCTGCCAGTACATCAGTGCAAAATACTTCACAAAAAGTGTCAGTGCTTCCCAGAAAAGAAATGCAAAGATAGCAACTAAATTTCCTGCTAAGAAAAAGAAACAGATTATGCATACAGTACTGCTGTAAATTTTAGCCTACTTAAACACACTGCCATAAATCACCAAGTACCACCACATGCGTGCTAGCTTGGAAGCACCAGGTGTTTTATTTAAAGAAGTTTGCAGATGCACTGGAAAAAGAGCTCCACCTCCTAAAGGATGTGTTGCAATTGCCACCTCGCAAACTTCCAGAGCCTGTCTGATGAACGACAGTGGTATTTATATAAAACTGTGAGAGACGTTTGTAAAGATTCAGTGAGACATTGTTTGCCCTCTACTGAATTGTGAAAAACCATCCAAGTCGGCTGCCAGTACATCAGTGCAAAATACTTCACAAAAAGAGTCAGTGCTTCCTAGAAAAGAAATGCAAAGATAGCAACCAACTTTCCTGCTAAGAAAAAGAAATAGATTATGCATACAGTACTGCACAAAATAATTGTGGTATTTTAGATGCAGCTGAAATTTAAACAAAGTTTATTTAGATGGGGGAACCACCATGGAAAAAGAGATGCACATACATGGTGAAGGAGTTATTCTCGGTTTTCATATTCCTCTTCTATTGTGTAATATTCTGGTCCATGTATTCTACATTGGTTGGCTTGTTGTGGTTACCCTGAGGAACTAAGAATCGCATTGCAGAAATCAAGTAGCAAAGTAAAGCAGTGTACAGATGGGGACCACATATGCATATATAGTGTAGGCAGCGTTGTATTCTCGGTTTTCATATTCCTCTTCTATTGTGTAGTATTCTGGTCCTTGTATTCTACATTAGTTTGCTGAATGTGGACACACACAGGCACTGCATATCATGTTGCAGAAATCATACAGCAAAGTGAAGAGGTATAAGATGGGGACCACCACAAAAAGTTGCACATACTTGGGAAAGAAGAACGACGAAGCAACCTCCAATTACGACACCACCACCTCCTTCTCTGTCCACAAACAGTCGCAAAGCTGCTTCATGTACGTAAAAAAAGGGACAAAACATTAATGCATGAAATATCATACCAATGGATATAGCAGATACCACTAGTAGTGAAATAAAGCTACAAATACAGTACAAGAATTACTTGATGATGCTTAGAATATCCACAAGGGTTAATCGAACATATACTGTAGATGACAAACTCACCGGCAGCAGGATGGCGTGCCTCACCTTCATCTGACTACATCCATGATATAGAGAATACCACACAACGCTAGATCTCACGTTTTGTGGTATTCTCTATATCCATGGATGTGGTCAGATTAAGGTAAGGCATGCCATCCTGTTGCTGAGTTTGTCATGTACAGTATACAGCATGTTTGATTTACCCTTGTGGTTACTCTAAGCATCAACCACAAGTGTTCTATCAGACATATACTGTGGATGCTTAAATGCACATACATTTGTGTGATTGGTTGACTAAGGGAATTAGGAATAACGATGGTAAATCTTGGTAATATTTCAAGGAAAAATACGTCCACAGTATGTCAGTATCTAGGCCTAGTAGAAGTAGTGCTACAGCACCCCCAAGCAGAGGCCTAGTTGTAGAATTTGTTATCCAAGCTCGATGTTACCACAGCCTAGGAAAACTTTCACCTTACTAATTTTTTTTACTGTTTGTCAACATCAATGGGATGTGTATATTAGTAACTGAATCTATTTTTTTTTACTGCTGGATCTGGAGGGTTTTGCACCCATGTACTTGCTGTGATCTATCAGTTTTTAGACTACAGCTAAGTTAAAAGAAATACCTTGACTGATGATGCATGTAGCTTATATAACAGGTTTATCTTGCTTATGAAAACCACCCCAAGCATATTGGTTTTGTTCAAAGGAGGGGATACATAGACCTCATTGCTTTAGTGTTAAGCAGTAGGCCTACCTCCTTGGCTTAGCTTTGGGTAAGCTACCAAGCCGTACTACATAGGGCCTAGCCCTTGCTAATGCTACTACAGGGCCTAGCCTAGCTGGTATTATTGCAGACAAACTCACTGGCAGCATGATGACTGTATGCTTGGAATAACCACTGGTGTTCAATCCACAGACAACTCACTGGCATCATGATGGCATGCTGCACCTTTATCTGACCACATCCAGGGATATAGTGAATACCACGAAAAGTGAGATGAAGAAAGAATTGAAAGAATTACCCTAAAGATACCACGCACCTCACACTTAGAATAACCACAAGTGCTATGGATATAGTGAATACCACAAAAAGTGAGAAAAAGAAAGAATTAAGATAATTACTTGAAGGATACCATCATATACCTCAGTCACTGGATGATGCTTGGAATTACCAGCATGTGAAGATCTTGGCTAACTACCTGACTGATGAAAGCCACTGTTGATCCAAAGGCTCTAAATCACTTATCTATTTGGGTGACTTTTTAGATACAAAAGCATTTAAACAACAGAACATTCATAGATACAGTAAATATGACAAGACGTGAGATGAAGAAAGAACTTCAGCTTAACAATACCTTCAAGTGTTATCAACATATATATTCAATGATATTACTGTACTTAAAACACTTGCAGCACGAAGGCAAGCCATACCTTTTTCCATGATTATAGTGAACACTGTACCACTAGAAGTGAGATGAAGAAAGAATTGAGAGATGTACTTGAACGATATCATGTGCCACACTCACTGAATGCTTGGAATAACCACAAGTGTTAATCAAACACACATCCATATAGTGAATACCACGAAATGCAAGAAAAAATAATAATTGAGATAATTACTTGAAGGATACAATCGTGTACCTCAGTTACCGGATGATGCTTGGAATAACCACCGCAACATGTGAAGCTCTTGGTTAACTACCTGACTGATGAAAGCCACTGTTGGTCCAAAGGCTCTAAATCACTTATCTATTTGGGTGACTTTTTAGATACACAAGTATCTAAACAACAGAACATTCATAGATACAGTAAATATGACAAGACGTGAGATGAAGAAAGAACTTAGAGAATAACCTTAACAATACCATCAAATGTTATCAACATATATATTCAATGATATTACTTAAAACACTTGCATCACGAAGGCAAGCCATACCTTTATCCATGATTATAGTGAACACTGTACCACTAGAAGTGAGATGAAGAAAGAATTGAGAGATGTACTTGAACGATATCATGTGCCACAC